CTAGGGAGGTTAGGTAGAAGCAGGAAATCCAGTTAGAGGGCTACTTACTATAGCAACCCAGGCAAAGATTAGTGCTCGTAGCTGAAGCCTTTGGATGGATGGATGGGTGGGTGGGTGGGTGGGTGGGTGGGTGGGTGGGTGGAAGGATGGATGGATATAGACATGTATGTATGTATATATGTATGTATGTGAGTATACACATACACACACACACACACACACACACTGTAATCAAAGCATAGGAGGTTAATAGATAAGGTAAAGGTAGGGCTGGGACTAGCATCCCAGCATCAGTCACCATCACTACAGTATCACCATCTGTAAAGCATTCTCATTGAGTGCTCCTACACACTTGAATCAGTGCTGGGAGGAGGCCTAAAGATTCTTCCTGACATCCATGTGTAACTGCCCCAGGCTTGAGACCTGTTTCTAAGCAACAGAACACAGCAAAGCAGAGTTCCTTTGTGCCTTCTAGCTCCACCTGTCCTCTCTAGCTCCTCACCTTGGAGCATATTGCATTGTGAGCAATGACAGGAGAAGGCTTTAGTCTGCCAATCCATTCAATGCAAGAGTTAATGGGTAAAAAAGAACTTGCTATTCCAAACACTGACATCAACTAAAAGCTAAATGGAATAATTTGCTTACCATCAACTTCATCTGTGTCTCACCTTCCCACTCTTATTTTTTTGTCATTAGCAAGTTTTCCATGATTTTGACAGTTGACATATTAGCAAGTTCTTAACACTTTTAACTTGTTGTGCATATTGAGCCTTTTTAGCAAGCCTGTTTTTGTCTTGGTTTAGAAAGTGAGGTGATATCAGTTTTTTTCTCCCAGACCTGCCTATCTTCCTGCCTTGTTGGCCAAACAGTATTTTATACATTAACCAATAAGAGAAGCATATGAACAGGAGGACAACCCCATCACCAGTGTTCTTAGAATCCCACCACACAGAATTTTCACCATCTTAAGCATCTCAGTTAGGACACTTCCTAGATTCTAGATTTCTTTTTAAAATACTTAATCACGAATTCTGGAAGATTGAGGACTGAGCGTGAACAGCACGACATCCAAGTTCATATGTCACCAAGCTCCAAATTTGACTAAGTATGTTTTGGCTCTATCAGAGTTATTCTGATTTTTTTTTTGTTTGTTTGTTTGTTTTTTTTTTTTTTTTTTTTTTTTTTTTTTTTTTTTTGCAAAGGAATCAACAATAAAGATCTGTGTTTTTGCACTGACATTCTGGTGGCCACCATAAGGCTTTGTGTGGTCTCTGGGACCTCAGGCACTGTCTAAAGCTTCCACTGAAGGAGATCAGCTTTTCAGCTGCTGGACCAAATGGAAGCTATCTATCAGAGCTTGTCTGAAGACCTCACCTAGCTGCCCCTCACTGGTAGGAAGGGCAGAGTGATGAGGGCTCTCAGAAGTCTATGGCACACTAAGTTTCAGAGAAGGTTTTTTGTTTGGTTGGTTTTTATTTTATTTGTTTTAATTGCTGGGATAAAAGTAATAAGAAAATGAGAAAACAGAAAAACTTAACTACTTGCAGTGGGGGAGGGCAGTTTTCCCATCCAGAGCTGATAGCTAAATGACCTAGCACTGGCTTGGAGCAGAAAACTGAAGAGAGTATCTTTTGTTTGCTCTCTCAATATCTGAGTGTAGGGTGGAAGCTTTCTTAGGTAAAACTGACAGCACTTTTCTCCCACTTACGTGCCAGAATTAGTTACGCTAAATATTCTCAGTCTGTTTACTTGTAAGTGGTGTGCCTTGAAAGAGAACAAAAAGTCGGTCAAGCATGATGTGATAACTTTCCCTGTGGTGCTTTGGGCAATCCAACATTACTGAAGGCTGTGAGCAACATGACACTTAAAGATGCTAATAACCCAGGGGCTACAAAGATGTATCTGTATTGGGCAGACACATGGCTTGTGTTTGGAGCCTTCTAGTTCAGCCATTTACCAGCTCGTTAAGCTTGAGCAAGTTACTGACTTCTTAGCATCAGTTTAATAATTTTTAAAATTGACATGATAATATCTGCCTAATAAAGTTATGATGAGGGCTAAACACTACTATTAACACATAATCCCCCTTCCCGAACACAAGCTTCTCTTTCCCAAGAGTGCAAATGACTCACTTGGCAAAGAAAGGATAGCACACACACCAAAATATAATCCAGGACAAAACTGATCATAGTGTGTCTACACAACCTCACACTTTCAAAGGGCCGGTCCTGAAGCTATACCTTACAAACAAATACAGACAAACAAATGTCTGCTGTTCCCACCACACACACACACAAAAAAGAGCTTTTGAATGCAGATTATAGGACTAGGGTTGTAGTTCATAGCACCCATGAGAACCTAGTTCAATCACCAGCACTAGAGGAGGAAGAGGAGAATTTTTAAAATGAGATTTTAAAAAGGCCTCATATCATAGAGATAATTGTACATCCATATTTATTCCTATACTAGTCACAATAAACAGAGATTGGAACCAGCTTAGATGTTCATCAGCAACAGAATAAAGAAAATATACATATGCACAATGGGATTATATTCATCTGTAATGAAAAATAAAACCTTATTTTTTTAGGCAAATGGAATGAAATGAAATTATGTTAAGTGCAATAAATCAGATTCAGAAAGAAAAATTCCATGTTTTTCTCTTACATGTGAAACTGAGAGGTGTGTGTGTGTGTATGTGTGCTGTCTATGTGGTGTGAGTGTGTTTGCGTGCGTGCGTGTGTGTGTGTGTGTGTGGGTGTGTGTGTGGGTGTGTGTGTGGGTGTGTGTGTGGTATGTATGTTTACAGTGTGGCTCCATAGGTCATGAAACTAGAAAAAGAGGGAAGGAAGAGACAGATCTTAAGGGAGGAGAGGGTACATATGGAATACATACATGAGGAAGTGGGAGGCAGTGACACCTCTGGGAAACAGGAAACTGGCCAGAGCAGGGCTAGGGGCCCAGAGCAGGTAGGGAGGGAAATGATAGTATTGTGAAAGTGCCAAACTGAGCCTGTTGCTTTGCATGCTAACCCACAGAGAAACTGAGGCATGCTCTAGAGGAGCAGATGTCTGGGCTGCACTGCCCAGCAGGACCAGTTTGTTGACTGTAAGGAGACACACAACATCACCACCTCCTGAGATGTTGCTTCCAAGTGTCTGTCTTGTGCACTATTCAGTATCAGTTTGACAGAATGAAGGGGCTTTGTCAGTTACACACTGTCCATATATGAAATTATGTACCAGAACATTCTAGAAATAAACTCACTATGAACCACTAACAGTATTTGCAAGGAGAGGTGGGAAGTGTTAGAGATGGTGGTGGTGGTGGTGGTGGTGGTGGTGGTGATGGGAGCATGAGATCTGAGTAGATATGGCATGGGCTTAAATCCTAGCTCTGCCGCCAGAGTATATTTGACTTTGAACAAATTTTACATTCATTGTGATCGGGCTTCTTCACTTTGCTGAAATAGCATCTGCATCCTGGAGTTGTAAGGATTAAATTGCTAACAGGAGTGAAAATACTGACAACAATGCCTGGCTTGTAGTAATAGCTCAGGGAGCATCAATGACTTCCCTTTTATTTAAGTTGTAGTAAGAGCTCAGGGAGCGTCAATGATTTCCTTTTTATTTAAATTATGGAGCCAATGCATGTGCTTTTGCTTCCAGCTCTCAGCATTTCCCAAATCTGCTTTTCTGTCTTGCCTATTCCTCTTACATTTCAGCAAACTGTTAAGTATTTTCCTGAATACCTGAGACCTGGGTCAACTGGATTTTCTAGTCACTTACATCGAGGTCCTTTTTATTACAAGATCACAATCTAAAGTTGGAGAATGGGTCGTCATGGTTGCTGAGACCCAAGAACTGAAATTGGAGTTGCAGTGGTGATTGAGTGAACTTTGTGTTTCATTTCATAAGGCAGAGAAGCCATTTCATAAGAAATTGGGCAAGTTTAGTTTCTGTAAGAACTTCTTGCATTCCTATGAAAACCTCTTATTCCCCTCTCCCCATCGCTACCCTGACCTCCGGCTTCTAGTTACCTCGATATTGGGTATTTTATTTTCTCTGTAATTTACTAGGTCTTTTTAAAATGTGAAATTGCAATGCAAGGCAAATATTTGAAAGTGTTTACAATATTGGAATGGCTAGAGTTCTCTTGGGCAAAGAAAGTAAGTTGGAGAAAGAGGGGAGGGTACTAAGTATTTGATAGTTGTATTAATTTGTGGGTGTCATCAAGTATCACACATCATCTAGCTTATTTACAAATGTATTATTCTAAAAGAATATTTTAAAATTTCAAGACCAGAAGGAAGCTAGGGAAAGAGCTGTTGCCTTTTCTTCATACCCACCCCTTATGGAGTTTCAACAGGAAATCTTTGGGCATTTATTTTTTCTCATTTTGAAGTCTTCTCTTGCCAGCAAATAGCAAGTCTGTATGATATAATTGCCAAGGCAATGTCAAGACCATGTTGGGGGGTGTACAGACAGGGAGACGGTGACACTGCTGAACAAGGAGTTTTCTGGAATTGGAAAGTTTAATTGTTTTTTGTAAGTGGTTATGCTGGCAGCTGTCCATCTGTCCTCATGGAGGTTTCTCACAGGGTCCTTTCCCTCCATATCACCTCGCTCGGAACCGTTTGATTTGTCTGCCAATTATACCCTAGTCTTCATTCCTACACCAAGTCATGTCAAAACAGGTTCCTGCATTTGAGTTAGACAAAGACATTTTTTATTTGCTCAGCCCAGAAACGCTTTTTCTTCGAATGCTACTTAAAGGCCTGGACTCAACAAACCCTTCTGCATAATAACTACAAAGACAGACACATCCCTTGCTCCTGACACTGTATAAATATTTGCTGCTTATATAAATTACTCTTGTCAGACTTTAGTAGACACCAGCCTGATACTTGCCAATTGTTTAAAGACTATTGCCTTAGTCTTAAAAGACTCAATTTTCCTTTTTTTTTTTTTTTTTTTTTTTTTTTTTTTTCCTTCCTTCAGGCACAATCCTTGGATTTGCCCTCCGACCATATAAAATGAGCTACAGGGAAGTCAAATATTTCTCTTTTCCTGGGGAGCTTCTGATGCGGATGCTGCAGATGTTGGTCCTACCCCTTATCATCTCCAGTCTTGTCACAGGTACTTGCCATGTACAGTGTTTGCTGTGTGTGGTTTTGTTTGTTTGTTTTTGTTTTTTTAAGTGTGCTTATTGCAAAAGAATGCTTAGAAAAGCCAATGCTTTAGGTTTCTGCTGGATGCATGCTCTGTTCTAGAAGGAAAAAAAAAAACAAGTCCCTTCAAAATGATGGAAAGAAGGGCTTTAGTAATGCATGAATGATTATGACTTTCGTATTTTTACCAATCACAAGAGGAAATGGATTTAAACAGCTACGTAATCTGGTCTGCCTCCCTATGAACGAGGTACCCTGCTAAAAACACCACACAACCCGCCTTCTCTGACCACATCGATGTAGTTGACAACAGCGTGCAACAGGTCTGTTTTCTCACCCTCTTATCCCACCCAGATAACATCTGGTTGGACAGCCTATTAGCTATTGATGCAAGAATGCTTGTTCTCAGAGCCACCAGGACATGAGCGGGAGCCTTCTTGGAAGCCTCATCAAGAGGTAATGCCCACCACACACTCACCAACTCTGCTGCCACCAACACTTTTCCTGGTGTACCCGCATGATTTTGTTTCCTTCTCTGGTTTCCCCACCCACCCCCATTACCTTTTATGCTGGTGGGAGAATGGGGAGGGGGTGGGAGACATCCCCATTGGCTACCCTGTCCACAGACACTTTGATTTTCAGCCAGTGGATGCTTTGCAGGATAGGATACCTTTACTGTGACAGTGCATGTGTACAGGTTGAAGAGTCATCAGCTATGTGGTTGACAAATACAGATAGGGCAAGAAGTTGCAGGAAAAAATGTTACTGTGCATTCCTTCCTGCCCACTCTTCTCTTTCCTCACAGCACAACTCTGACTTGGAGAAAGAATTCCCATAAACACTGCCCAGCAGGATGGTATCTGGGTCTGTAGCTCAAGCTCCAGACCTCAGGTACTATTGATCCTGGCCCCTTTTTCCACCTGTGGTCACTGGGCAAGCCAGTTCACCTCTGTGTGAGCTGCATCTTTCTGCTTCTTCTCATGAGTTTTCAAAGAGTTATATTCTTTCAAACTATCTGTATAACAAGAACTTCATAGAACAACTCAACTTCATAGAGCAACTCAAAGGTCACGGGGCAGCATTCTGACTACTGCATGCCTTAGAGGGCTGGTCATTACATGCAAGGAATATGTCAGATTACTCCTGCGTGCCTTACAGATCTGGACTGGATACCACTTGTCCAGGGCCTAAAACAAGTAATTGCATGTACACAAGCTCAGAGTAGAGGATAAATTGCCCACAAGCCAGTCTTGTCACCCTTTAGGGTACCTATCTATGAAACTGGACTGGTCAGTTGCTGACTAGGGGTAATTATAGAATTCTTATGAAGAAGCTATATCAAATGTTGGCATGGGCCCATTTTCATTTTGTTAGCCATTTTTCTCATGAAAAAGGAAATCTGCAGAAATCACTTACAGATCAGAGCCCATCTCCAATATCTTATTGAGTGAAACAGTGAATCCCCCTGCATTATCCCTAGTAGTTAATTTATAGGTTGAGAGCCTGATATTCCTCTGGACACAATGGTGCATCCTGGATTCCTCTCTCTGTCTCCTCTAGATTGGAGCCGGTTTCTGCTTTCTCACTATTTTATTTTATTTTATTTTATTTTTGAGACTTAGACAGCCTTGTACAACACAGTTAGAAAAAGCATGCTTCACCTCAGAAACAGCCAGCTTCTCCCCAGAAATAGAATTCCTTGGTGTTTTAAATACTTAATGATCAACTTTATTTAAGGAATAAGAGTGTTTGTTGAATAATTTTTCAGGAAAAAAAAATTACTCTGATCTAATTCCTTTTAGTGCTTCAAAAGAAGACTTTGGTCAAACATTGGGGAAATTATCAATCCTTTATAATATGGCTTAAAAAAAAAAACCAGCAAGTGGCAAGGAACCTATATAAAATGAACTCATAATATAATGTAGGTGCAAGTTGAGAGTGCTGACACATGGAATCACTAAGAGTCTTATCTCTTAGCTAGGACTGGGTCAAGGAAAGGGGCCTGCGGCAGAGTTTAGCCAAAGATGTTTTTACAGTGTTGTCTCCAACAAGTTATCCCTGAGCTGCACAGTAATCTAGACACTTGCAGTGATCAATTAAAATGAATGATTGATTCAATGAGACGTCCCTTTGTGGTTTTAAATACAAAACATTCTAAAAGTGGGAATGTAGAGGAGGAAATGTTTGCAAATCACACAGACCTCTTAGAAGATCCCCTGAGCTTTACCCGGGAGATGTTACTGGGGAAATATGTTGCCCTGGGAGGTAACAAAGTAAGGCTCCTTTATTCAAGAATGAAAAAGCAATCTCAAAAGCTTGCAGTCATCAAGTGGGTGACGTGAACATATGAAGATGCCCTTTCAGGCCACTTTTTGTTTTCCTACTTCGATAGTCATGGATACAGAGAAATATTTTCTTCAACAGGAGAAAGAGCAGGGCTAGGAGAGATGATTAAGTGGAGGGTTACTGCACAGCAGACTAATGTTGGCAAAAGTTGGACAAGGAGGCTGTGGAGACCTGAGAAATAGAAGATTAATTGGCTTCCACCAGTTGCTACTATGTGTCCACAAGAGGACCTTTTTTTTTTTTTTTCCAAGACATTTAGTTATACAAAGTTTTAAGAGATCCTCCCAAGTTTTCGGGTTTGATACAGTTCACCCAACCGAACAGTGAGTCAACTGGTTCAGTAAGCCCTACTAATCTCAAAACTTGTGTTTGCCTATCAGTGCCGCTGCTTGAGAAATGCCCCACTGTTTATGGACCCCTCTATCAAGCTTTTACTGGTTTTTTTGTTACCTGACTCACCCATTGGTAATCCTAAACTAAACAAAGCTTACATCTGGAGTGAGCTGTGTTCCTTGCTTTTGAAGAAACAGTGATTGGAAAGGTTCCCCTCTTCATCTTCTGAGTATGGTCACAGTGTGTCATAGCTGTTCTGTTTTGTATCAGACAAGAGCATCATAGTAAGTTCACACTGCCATACAAGAAATTTTACTGTGAGAAATGCTTCACAGCCTCCGTGCTCTTAGATTCAAAAGCCTTGAAGTCTGTGCATATGGAAAGGAAGTTGAATAAAATTATTATTGCATTTAGTTTTGGAACATTCCAGAGAATATACTATAACACTAAAGTCACATTTTATTTTTTATTTTGTTTGTTTGTTTATTTATTGTGGTACAAGTAAACAAAGCTAGTACCATGCTGGACAAGTACTCTACCACTAAGTTATATTCCCAGACTAACTTAGAGAGATCTGAAGCAGATTTTTGTACTTGAAACACTAGTTTTTGTGGGCTGAGGCATTAAAGCTCCATAAGCCACATTCTTGTCCTGCCTTGAAATCCAGTCTTCCCAAATATCCCTGTTGTGTATTAGCATTCCAGCAGCTCTGGGCAAAGCTGGGAGGTAGCCCAATGGCTACATTTGTACTCAAGCACCTTTTTTTTCCCCCTTTTCTTTTCTTGAACAAGAAGAATATGTCTGTGCCAACACATCACACAATAAAACAAGGATTTGGCACCAGTTTCTATTGATTTGGTTGGGATAAGCAGCCAAACTAGCTATTTCATGCCAGAAATATGAGTTGGTTTGGCTGGCTCAGCCTGATTTAATGCACAGGATAATAATTAAATGCCATGTCTGGTTATAGTGAGTGGACATAGCTAGCCTTATTTCTAAATCTTTTTCAAAAATCGGTGCTTTCTGGTGTTAGCATTCTAAGTGTGCATATCCCTGCAATCACTCACCACACAGGAACACTTTACTGCCAACCCCCGGTCTTCTGGAAGAGAAAAGCATTCGATAGATAGTCTCTTCAGAGGGGAGTATGTTGTAAGTGAAAGAGGCGAGAGATACACTTGGCACGATTATGAAAAGCAGCAGTCTGAAGCCTATGTTGGGGTACACCAGAAGTTAGACCACAAAGTAGACAAAGTTCAGTTTGTCCCATCCACTCATTCATTCACTTGTAGTTGTATTCTGTGTCCGGCTAGGCACTGGAAGTACATGAATACAAAGTCAAAGTCCCTAAGTAAGATGTGTACTGGGTAGGAAAGAGACAATCGCCAAATCCCTCAGCTCATACAGTCACAATATATGTGAGCAGCTCTCTGCTCCAGTTTCTCTGGTTCTCTGTATGCCCCAAAAGAAAGGCAGTTTGATTGATTTTTTTTTAATTTCTTTGTATTTCATGTCTGTATATAACATATTTAGATCACATCCATCCTCACCTTCCTCTTGGTTTACTCTTTTTTTTTGTTTTGTTTTTTTTGTTTTTTGTTTGTTTGTTTTGTTTTTTTTGTTTTGTTTTGTTTTCGTTTTTTGATACGGTTTCTCTGTAGTTTTGGAACCTGTACTGGAACTTACTCTGTAAACCAGGTTGGCCTTGAACTCACAGAGATCCGCCTGCCTCTGCCTCCTAAGTGCTGGGATTTAAGCCATGCACCACCACCACCACCTAGCTTGGTTCACTTTTTAGAACATGATTACAAAACAGATTTTCTACAGTTATGGCACCTCCCATCTGATAACAAAACTCCAGAGTTTACCAGCATAAATGTCATTCATATTCCCCTGTAGCCGCTTCTTCAAGTTATCACAGTTTTTACACAGCCTCAAATCACTACTAACAATAATGGAAACCTCCTGCCCTTTGTCTTGTGAAGGAGATAATAAATTGTGGCATTACGGCATTCTGAATTGACACCATTGCTTTACATAGACTCTGAGGGCCCAAAACTACCTCTGTCATATTTTAAGAAAGAAAAGAGAAATAATTAGCAAATGTCTAGAGACATTAAGTATACCTTAGCCATGAGAGCTTTATCTTTCCTCTAACCCAAAGAACAGAAAGTTAATTAAACAAACAAACAAACAAACAGCTTTCTCACTTTTCTATGTGATTTTGTATAAATGAGGAAAGTGTTCTCTTCCTCCAGAACTCTGTATTTACCCCTGCTTGGGAAATAC